CGCCCATGCATACAGCAACAAAAAGGTTACGGTCACCCTAAACGGCGCAGCAAACAGTACGAATCTCTTCGTCTGGCTCTACATCGTGCGAAGCAATTTAGGCTGGATGGGGTCGCCTACCAACTTCTGACCAGGGGGGTCACTACGTTCCCCGCAAGTTGCTGGTTCTGGGGTGTCCACCAGCCCGAAACTTATACGTATATTGGGCGCTGAGGACTATCGACCCCGCACTGATTAGCCTCCTGCAAATTTGTTGAGCTCCCGGACTTTGGGTGATGTTGCTGTAAGTTCCGGAGCCGGGTGCACGGGCGTACACGATGAGGTGTCAATTCCGTTCTGCGTATCCATCGATTCCACAGAACCATTCTCCTGCAACGACGCGCTGTGTCCCGCGTACTTCGCAACATACATCTCGTGCTCCGGTGAACTGGACGGGGGTCCGTTTTGTTCCAGCACGTCGGACAGCTCAAGAGGCTTGCAGGGTTACTCGGCCGGGGTGAACAAATGCTGATGGATACCGGAGTCTCCTGCTGCGGCTGGTTGACGACAAATCGTGGCCACGTTCGGCGTAGACGAGGCTCTTTTCAACGCCGGCCATGTTCCAACCCGAAAATGTAGTCGGAATGTGGAAATTGGCCGATCTCAACTCTTCGAATAGGTATCATTTTCATTTTTCTCCTTCCGTCAACTGCAGCACCACGGGTTTGTCGTGAGACGCCATCGTAGGCATATTATTTTATACGACTTAAGCGCTATAACAATATAACAATTAATACTGCTAATGTAAATAACACGATACGCACGTAGATGCTTATGGGTGGCTAAGCTAGTGAGTAGTGATCAATACGTCCAAATAATCTCCGAGAGACAAAAATAATTTATACTGGTCTAGTCAAATCCATCGCAACGATGTTTTGTGGATTTTGTATCGACAGGAAAAATATTAGGAATTCTTTAAATACTATTATGAATGCATTAATTTCAAATAAAAAAAATAAAAACCAACGTTTTGACTATACGACCAAATTAATGATAATAGTAATCTCTATATACCTATATATAATATACTATATACAATTAAGTCGCTTTTTTTTCGGAATAAACTCCGAAACTACTAATTGAATGATAGTGCAGTTTTTTTAATTAAAGAAGACATCACAGAGACGGTTTTAGGCATACATTTAGTCCGATAAAGTTGATAAATAATTAGTTATTATTAATTAAAATAAACGTATACATTGTATACCTATACCTTTTTTAGTAAGAAATAGTCGCTGAGTGAAAATAAATAATAATCAAACTCGACAAGCACAGATGCTTCTAGGCAGAAGACTGGAGAAAGTGGAGTGAGTGCATTGCGAGCCAAAAGGGGAAGGAAAAGAGAGATGTCTGTGAGAAAACAAAGAGTGGGCGGTATATGGAGGAAGAATAGTTTGGAGACTAAGGCAGGAATATTAACGGAGTCAAAAGCACCTCGAAATACGAATGTCTACAAACGTGGCGACAAAAAATTTCTTAGAATTAAATGAGTGATAAATATTATTAATAAAAGTAGAAAGGCATTCCACGGTACCCATGCCCTTCCTAAATGCAAAGAGGTCAGGTGGTAATATGGGATTGTGTTCCAACCACCAATGGAGCAGAGTTTTGAGAATACGTTCTAAGGATTTACATAGGAAAAAGCAATAGGACAAAATGCCTCATTGGAATTAGGTTTGGGAATAGGAATGACTTTGTATGATTTCCAAGTAGATTGATTATGATAGGTAGACAAGATATAATTTAGCAATATGAGTAAGAAGTCATAAGCACAAGAGGGTAAGCGTTTCAACATTAACGGAAAAATGTTATCAAGTCCTGAGTCTATTGAACGCCTAGTGACAATGACGTAGTTATACAATTCGGATTGGTGAGAATATGAGGGTTGTGGCAGTTGTGGGCAGAATGAGGGGTAAACTTCAGATGAAGTAGGAACGTAACAGATAGCAACCTTAGAGCAAAAATCGTGGAGTTAGTCATCATTGGTAGGTCGGTGAGATGAGGAGACACCGTTTTTGAAACTTTTAGCTATAGACCAGAGAAAATGCTTTGAAGTTAATGGTTTTAATTTGAACAAAATGTATTCCAAGCCGCTCTCTTAGTGTCTATTAAAAGACGGGTAGTGGCTGCACTGCTATCTTGATAACTAAAGAAATCTTCGTGGAGATAAAATATGAGTCAATTAGAGGTAGATCAGGAGGTACAGATGTGATCGAATATTGAATAAGACGCCCAATCCGCTTTATTAAGATTGAAGGTACAATGTTACTTATCAATAGATTTTTGAAAAGGACCAGACGATTGGGTACCATGGAGATGGTTCCCGGCAGTCAAGGACATCAAGATTGGAAACTACTATGAGGGTCATCGAGGATGGACCAAGATAAAGACCAAATGATATAAGGTGAACAAAAAGATAGGTCAATAGCGTAATCCGGAGACCCCAATCGTCCAACATGAGTAGGACTACCGCTGTTCAGAATACAGACCTAGGGAACTGACGGTGTCTTATATGCAGTTACCGAGACGTGTAACGAATGCGAGCCCCAGCGGGATGGAAAGCGTTAGTCGCCACTAAGAAAGGGGTTGCGCCGGAAGAGACTAAAAAGGGAATCCTAGAATCGCTCGGAATCTAACAAGACCATATCGTTAAGAACGAGGATGTGCTCAGGAGGAACACCTCAGTATCGACGATATCTATTTTAATGACTTATGAATTATAATAATAATAATAATACTTTATAGTATAAAGTTTATACTACATTACTTATAATAATTTATAACTTGGTTTTTTTACCGATTACCATTATTTACATCTTATTACTTATTAATCGAAGTTAGGGAAGTTCATAGTACTCGTTAACTTGATTCAAATTTAATTGATGTATTATAAATTTAAAAATATCAGTTACCTTAACCTAGTAAAAAAATATAATGAACTTGCCTAGCCTTGCATGTAAACACCATTTTTTTTCAATCTATTCAACCTCCGGCCTCTGAACACACGTCCTCGCAGATTACATAGCCATCTACTGACAATATGATACAAGGTTTGGAGAATAAAAATGAATACACTTCATATTAGCCCCGGGGTTTGACATGTTGGGGAGCTGAAGCCCCCACCTACAATGAAATTAAATAACTTGGAATAAGCTTAACATTTTTTTGGAAATTTTCCCACCTTATTGGGTCTATGTACCCAACAATCACTTAAACCAACACATTACTGCCACCTTATTAGGATATCCGTTATCTAGGCCTAGATGGCCGACTTACATGGGCATCCCAAATCGAAGATAAACGATGGCTCAGCTTAAACAATATATTCTGCCAACTTTGATTTCATATCTGTACCACAAAACACTGTAACTTTATATACTCATATCGTAATTGCATCACTATACAACTTAGTACTCACATAACATAAAGACTATACCCTATAGGCAGATTAGGACAATAAGTAGAAGGTACTAAATAATTTCAGTTGCATTCAAAACTAAAAATTACACCAAATCAGCCCAAGCCCAATACCATTACTCGGGCATATCCTGCATTAATCCAAGGCTCCAAATTACATTTACCAGAATGCACCAGAGTAGAGGAACAAATAATCATATCCAAGACCTGGTCACCTGATATAAAATATGGGAGGTAAAAATGAAATGGCACGACGCGGCCGTGCCTGTAGCGTACGGATAAAAAAATAATGCAAAAAAAAACACATCATAAAAGAATTAAGACAAAAAATTCTATATGATAATCGTCATACATTGTTATTTCTCAATAAAAACGTTTGCAACCCATGACGGTAATATTTACTTCTTTGTACCAGATGCGCAATTTTACGAGGAGAAAGATGGATACATTTGGTTGTAGGAAACTGGTACCACTACACACTTACAAATAACCCACCTGTCTATTCAAACAAGATGATAAACCCTCCTCGTATACTTGGATTCAGCGCCACTGCAAGGTTTACTTAGGAAATTTATATTTGAATACAAATTCTTGATGCCCTATCTTCTGGAATACAATATTTTCCATACGTTCAGAGTTTTGATCAATTAGGTTCCAAACATTTAACACCTCCCATACTATACAGTTCTATTGTTTAGACCTTCATTATCTTAATAATCCAGGTTCTTGTTATCTGATGAATTCACTCAATATTTAACCGATTGCCCTAAAATTGATTGTATTTGGTAAGCATTAAAATGTTTTCTATAATAAATATTGGTGTGTAGTTATAAATTGAAAAACCATCTTTTGTTATAAAAAACAGTAAGTATCAATGTTGAATAACAAAATTACAACATAGTATTTTATGACATTGATAATAGATACATAATAAATAATTGGTAGGAAAAGTAGGATTTGTAATAAAAAATTGTCAAAACAGTTGAAATGTTAACATAATAATTTATAAAGCATATATTTAATATTATGCTCACAATTTGTTATAAAAGTTGCAGTCGTGACTAAATAAAGTATAAATTATATAATTTAATGAGACATGTTTGGTTAGTTCTTATATCCCCTCAATAGTCCCAGTTTACATTTGTTATAAGACACTTATATTTTACAGATGACCGTTGAGTTTATGTGTAACTACACAAATAATAATATAATAATAATAATAAAAAAGAAACATAAATTAAACCCATTAAAAATTATAAATGACGTTTACACAAGTAGATTATTATTACAATCTATCTTATTATTGTATATTCAAAACATCAGTTTCCGAAAAAAATATATAAACAACACGATAGTAAAATGCAAATAAAACAATTTAACTATTTTTAGAAGCATATGATTCAAAAAATTAAAAGAAATGATATATAAACATACATACATACACATATATTATTGTTTATAATACATGTTGTATATAAAATAGGCCAATGATTTTTGAAAAATATATTCAACGTTTCCATTGGGTTTCAGTATTCACTTAGTTATTAATCATTATACACATTAATTTCTCTTTAATTATTAAATAAATCAACCATGACTCAATAATCTCTAAGATACTTTACATTACAATTAATTTTTATGTACAAACATAATTTAATACTTTACAAAAAAAAAAATATATGTAATTAAAAAATGTATTTATATTAACAAATAATTGAGTTAATAAAAAATAGTAATTTTAGTCTCGTATCATTTATATTTATAATATGTTACAAACGCCTTGCACAAATAGGCAAAAACAAACTATACTTCACTTAACCATTAACATGTTGTCAAGCTTTAAATACGCCTTAAAAAAAAAAATGACAGTATTTTTTAAGAGAAAAACTAACAAAATTGTCGGTAGACAATACAACTATTATTATTTTTTTTTTAATAAATAATAATAATAAAAACATTTTTGTTTAAAGTAACCCTGTGTTAATATGCTTCAACATAGAGAAAAAAGTAAACCCCCCAATGTCTATGAAGGCCAACTAAGTATAAATATCTATCCATAAGAAATATTATGTATCTCACTAAGGGGTTTTCATTTTGATAATTATACATCTAAAAAATAATAAATTAACATAAATAATAATAAAAAAAAAAATTATGTATTTAAAAAAATATTCATGCAAATCTATACATGTGGCCCAGGCGTCGCATAATACGTACCAAAATGTCAGTAAAAATAACAAACTATCTGCCTTTATTATCAAATGCAGAGAGTGCAGCAATTGTGTCATTTCTTCTGTAGTACAGCAAATACGGCATACATGGGGGTTTTGGCTGACAAACTTCTTTATCGGTGACAAAACGTACAGACGCATCATCAAACCTTAACCATCTACCAAGTGCCACATAAAATACATCAGCAAAGTAGTGACCTTTGTTTGCCTCTTTACCATCATGATACACAACTTGAAATACAAAAAAAATAGTTATAAGTTAGTATTGGAGACGTAATCTATAAATGATCTGTTTTATAAACAATTTAAGCACCAATAATATTTATTTAGAATTATGAATGAATAAAATTGATTTTAAAACACACACTTGAAATATACTATTGTTCCGTAATAATCATTCAAAAAATACAATTATACAAACGCTTAAAAAAATTAGAAAAAATTAGTATAGTTGGGAATCATGTTAATACAAGATATAATTAGTTAATTTTATAGAAAAATTCCATATAATATACAAAACCAAAAATTGTATGTCTGAAATTAGGTATATCCATAAGACAAAAAATTTAGTCATATAGCCTAAATAAAACAGAAAAAATATAATTTGGTCGAGAATCAAATATAAACCATAGCACGCTACTAAATATGTCTTCTATTAGGGAAATCTATGAATCATTTTTTATGTTTAGTTAATTAGTAATTAAGTCTTGCAAAAAATCGGCCTGAACCTAAAAATGTGAATCCAACCCAAAAAATGTTTATGTCAATACTAGTAATAGTTACTGTTTCAGCTATTTCTTTAGAAAAATTCATGGATAGAAAAATTCCATACACACAAACCGAGGATAATATGCCCGTTCTTAGCACACCTATACAACAAAAAATAGTTATATAGGCCGGCTTAAATAAAACGGGGTGAAAATATAATTTGCCCAGGAATCTGATTGAAATACTAGTATTAGATACTGTTTCAGCTATTTCTTTAGAAAAATTCATGGATAGAAAAATTCCATACACACAAACCGAGGATAATATGCCCGTTCTTAGCACACCTATACAACAAAAAATAGTTATATAGGCCGGCTTAAATAAAACGGGGTGAAAATA